ATTACAAAATTAATTTCAACACAAAGTGTAGGCCATCATGTCAACAAAATTAATAGGGATCAAATCACTCCCTTAACTACATGTTATTTATACTTAATTTTCCTTTGAAATGTACACGTGCTATTTCCTCTATATAACAATGACGTGCTTCATATGATTTTTTTTTTTTAGATATTCGTATTAAAATTCAATTAATTAAATTTATATCGTACAGAGCTTCATTCCGAGTTCATATGGCAGTTTTCTCTTCCTCTTTCAAAAGATAATTAAATAAGGATAAGGGTCTGAAAAATACCTCAACTTTGATCGAATTTGTTGTTGCGATACTAAATTTTCATGAGGACATATTACCTCTCTGAACTATTTAATAGTGTATTTCTTACCCCTGGACTATTTAATAATGTATTTCAAAGGTATATCACATTACTATTTATAATTTTACATTATTTTTTATGTCCACATGGGCAGATATATATATTTAAAAAATGGTATTAAATAATCTAGAAAGATAGGTCCTCATAAAAGTTTAATATCGCAATAATAAATTCGACCTAAGTTAGGATATTTTTCGGACCGTTATCCCTATAAAATATATGATACTAACTCAATAAAATTAATGATCTAAAGTATAATTATAATAAAAGACCTTAAATATTTTTTAAAAATATATTTCTCAACTGTCATCTATTAAATTATTTTCTCTTTAACAAAGTCCACACGTAATATATAGAATAATTTTCTTTTTTTATATATATATATTTTCCATCCTACAATTTTTGTTTTACAATTGAGTCCAACTGCTTCCACTGAAAAATTTGTTAAGTTTAAAAAAAGATAATTTAATTAGTAGATATATTTTTTCTCTCTCTATCATTGGGTTGAAAAGTTAGAAATTAGATGTGTACTTTTGGACGTATTAGCTATGCTGATAACATGTTTTATTTTTTTGGTCAAAGATAACATGTTAATTATAACAATATGTTTAAGATATAATAGTGTTTATTTAAGAAGTTAAGTGGATTCAAAGTACGAAGGTTAAACACATTTTACATAATTTTTTATATGAATTTAAATACGGTGACATTTTTTTTTTAAATTTTCAAAGATAACGTGTAAATAATTTTATTCTCACAAAAAAATTATTTTTGATAAATACTCATTTAAAGTAAAACATAACATACGTTATATAACAATATGTTTAAGATATAATAATGTTTATTTCAGAAGTTAAAGTGAATTCAAAGTACGAAGGTCAAATATATTTTACATAATTTTTTATATGAATTTAAATATTGTGCTATTTTGTTTTTGTTTTTTTGAAAATTTCCAAAGATAGCATATACACTATTTTATTCTCATAAAAAAATTATTTTTGGTAAATACTCGTTTAAAGCAAAACATAAGAAACAGTAAAGAATAATACAATAGAAGCTACATATGTAACGTTGGCTAAAATTGAATTTTTTTCTCTCTCTAGTGGATCTGTTTTAAACGTAATAAATAATTCATATTATTAGGAAAATTAAATTATTTTTTTAAAAAAAAATAAAAAATCGTGAAACTCATTAAATTACTATGAGTATTATTCTTACCTAACAAACTGTGTAAACCGTGAAATTATTTGTGAAATCATAAAAGAAAAAAAATCAGTCAACAATATTCTTTTATTAATTTAAAATTGAATAGTTTAATTCTAACACCATATAATATTTGTGCATGAAGCATGTATAATGTCATATACAAAAAAAATAAAAAATCTTAGAGCTTATGCATGGATAATGTTATATATAAAAAAATCTCGAGTTTCAATCTTAATGAACAGAAATTAGAAATATATTGTTTTTATGATAAAATCGATATCAAACATACTAAATGAAATATTAATGTACTTTAATTTCGAACAAGTTTATGTAAAATTAAAATATAATTTTCTTATAAAATTACATTTATAGTGGATAAATAATTATGTCTTTTACCAATAAATTATTCTATTTTTTTTAAAAAAAAAAAGAAGTCAAAACCAGGCAAAAAGAAAAAAAAAAGGCTAAAATTAAGAAGTTTTTTTCTAAAGCATGTGCCAAACGAGCTGACCTTTGTCTTTATTAATTTAATAAATAATAATAAATATAAAATAATGTGATATGAATATTATTTTGTCATTTTTTATTTCTACTTTGAAGACACGTAATGAAATGGTGGTTAAGGTATTAGGAATTATTGTCTTTGTTTCACTAATTCTAGAAACCCAAAATGCCTTTGGATCCTTTTGGTATACACAAATAATAATAATAATAATAATAAATAATATATTGATTACGATAAGACATATGTAAATTTTATTTTTATTATTAAAATAAAATATACACAGATTTTATCCTTACTTTCAAGTCAATATTAGATATATGTAAATTTTATTTTTACTTTTATTGAAGTAGACCGATTATTTTCTGATAGATTTTGACATAATAATAAGATAATAAATATTTTACCGATCAAATTTATGTTACACGTGGCTTAATTTAATTGCAAGGCCAACAACAAAAAGATGATCCTATTTTCTATGTTAAAGATTAATCACCCTTGACTTTCTTTTAATTTAGTTGAGACTTCCAAGTCCAAGAAAGATGGAGGAATTTCTTTATTTATTGTTTTTCCAATGAGAAATGGAAGAAGAAAAATAATTCTCCATTTTCTTTTTATCGAGTTGAAACTAAATTTTTTTATTATGTACGTATAACACAAAAGATTAAGTAACTTATTATACATTATGGTGAATAACGTGAAATTCTGATGGATGTCTAGTCGATTTTCATTTTTTTTAAGAGAAAAATCCATCAAAAATATCTTGACAAGTTAATTTTTGATGAAATCATCATATAGCGAATTTCTTGTCGCTTTTACAACTTGTCCAGTTTAAAAATAATATATCTTTAATTTAAAAAATAATGATTGATATGAATATACAAGAAAATTATAAAGTTGATGTTTAATCTTGGCTTTTGAGAGATCATTTGAAGAACAAGTAATAAATTCATGTTAATAACAAAGTATTTCTGAAAAAAATAAATTCTCTCAATAGGCTAATTATAAGTGAAATAGTGAGCAATTAAAAATAAACGAATAGAGTAATTAAAAAATCAAATATTTTACCTTTAAATTATGCATTCAAAATTTAACTTGTCATAATGCATGTAGAATTACGACATATCAAATAATAAGTCATACATTATACCCTCTTAAATGTATATCATTCTAAATTTAATGTAAATTCAAAATATTTTATGTATCGAATCACTATCGATTAAAATTTACTTCCATTTTTCTAGAAAGGCAACATATCAAACTTTTAGGTGTGAAACACTTTTGATTGCTTAGAAAAAATAATAATAAATATTAGACTAAGGCAAGATAGGTCGTTAGGAAGCAATACCCCATTTTTTACTCTTAATTAATTCCTTAATGATGACTTCCCATGCAATAACTTTTCCACACTCTCAACATATAGTATTTTATACAAAAAAAAAAATCATGAAAAAAAAAATTCTTTTTTCCTTTTTCTTTTTTGAAAAATAGGAATTATAATATTATTTAGAGTCATTAATAAATATTTAAATAATTTTACTGCCACAGAAATTTCTTCATAGCGTTAAATAGTATTGCATGATATATAAGTTAATCGCGATACTTCATCGTGTTGCAATTGTCTCACATAACATTATTAGTAATAGTTAATTTTTAAACTGATTTCTAAATTATCGTTCAATAATCTATTATAATTATATCGCGTAATATTGTTAATAATAACAATTGAATTTTAAATTATGCTTAAACCTCTTCTCAAATGTTTATTATTGTTATCTTTATTACAAGAATATTAGTAAGTCACAAATAAATTTTGGGCTTAATTAATACGAGTCGTTTGCATGAGGTTGGTTTACAACAACTATTTAATTAAAGACTTAATTTAACATCCTTGATTGATTAATTACTAATATTAAAATAATTCTGATAAATCGGCTAAACTATTCAAACCTAGTTTTGGAGTTTTCACATGCAAAGGCCAAAAAGACAATGAACTCTCTATAAGTAGTTGGTTTCAAATTATCTTTCGTAATTTATATTTGTATTATTTATTTATTTTAAAATTTTAAGATAAAATTAATTATTTTTAATATTTTATATCTTTTATAGTAAATTTTTTTAAAGATCACAAATAACTTAATAGAATAAATATTTAATAATAGAATAAATATTTAATGAAGATATATTATTTCCTTTGTTCACTTTTACTTATTCACTTTGAATTTATATATCTCATAAGAAATAATGACTAATATGAGTAGTCAATCACAATATCAATATTAATTGACTTATAATCTTAGGTCTTAGAAAATTATTTGAGGAAAGAAGTAATTAATGTTGAGAATAAAATGTAGAATTTTTATTGATACGTTAAAAGTGACGAATTTAAAATAGTAAATAAATAAAAATGAACAGTAGAAGTACATTTTAAGACATAAATAAAGATAAAATATCAGTATTTCATCCTTAATAAGTAATATTTTCTTTGTAAACGTGTAAGCCGTGTAATTAATTTGAGATGAATGGAGTATTTACTAGTACTAGTGAAAATAGAAAATGGCCACAACCACAACAAAATAAAAATCAGGTAAAAATTTCGAGACAGAAATCAAACTCTTAATAATAAATTAATTTTTATGTTTATATAGCCAACTGAACTATTACGATTTCTCCTCCGACCAAAAAAACTAAAAACCAAAAGAAATTACAAACAATAACAACAACAAACTCATTTTCACTTTTTCCTAGTTTCAAATTATTATATCATAATACTATATGGAAAAAAAAAGTTCTTTTTTAAAAAATAAAAATGACAAAAAGGTTAGTGATGTCATTTTTCAAATTTATGACATCATCATACTCCCACTTATTTTTCTCCTTTGGCTTATAAATAATACCCATTGTTCACTCCATCTTGGAACACACCAAGTAAGCACTATTTTCTTTTTATACACATTTCTACAAAGATCAAAAAAATTGAAAAAAAAATGGAATCTACAATATCTTCATCTTCATCTCGATCCGTATCGCCTTCGTCTTCATCTTCACCTAACTCACCACCACCCCCGTCAATGACAGTGGTGGTGGTGAGTCCTTGCGCCGCCTGTAAAATATTACGGCGGCGCTGTGCTGAGAAATGTGTGTTGGCACCTTATTTTCCTCCAAATGATCCTATTAAGTTCACTACGGCTCATCGTGTGTTTGGTGCTAGCAATATTATCAAGTTTTTACAGGTATATATTATAAGTTTTATCGATATTAATGATATATATGTTACGTTAGCATTTAATGTTTATGAGTTTTAAATAGCAATTCATAACTCAAAGTACTAATATTCATTTCTAAGAAATACACTCAGAATTTAAAGTTTATGAATTTTGATCAGTAGTAATACGTAACTCAAATTACTAGGTTCACATTTGAATACTTTAGCATTTTTAATAAATATGCTTATACAAATACTATATGATTTAAACAAAAAGTTACTAGGTTCGTTCATACCAGTTATTAATAAAATACACTACCTCCCAAAGTACATATTTGCCTTGCTTTTTGGGTATTTAGTTTTTTTTAGTTTTGATTTATATTGATATTTATATTTTAGTAGAATATAAATAAAGTTTATTAATATATATAAATGATTGAATCCCTTTTAATTTAGGGAAGCTTCTCATTGTATATGCATTTTTCTTTAATGAATTTTTTCCTTAAAATTCCTAAATTTTATTTACACGATAATATAAAATAATTTTTTATATTATTAATTTTTGAGAGTCAAACTATAGACAGATTTCTTTTATTTTTGTGGAGGTTATTAATTAGAAATATTTTAATAATAAGGCTTTATTCTATAATTTCAAAATTTTAATGCATGAAAAGTAGACAAATTTGGCATTTTGTAATATTTAGGTAGATTTTAGTTGCAAATTTGAAATGCAATACCTAGCTTAAAATTGATGGTTGAAATAGACATAAGAAATTGACAAGGAAATATCTCAATCATATTGCTCTTCTTAGTGTAAAGAATTTATTCCTCTATTGACTATAATAATGAGAAACAACCACCACATCAATCTACTTTATTTATTTTTATAATAATTATTAAAATAAAGTCTTTTCTTTCTTTTCATGTCTCGATATTTCATTTTTCTATACTTTTTAATCATATCAGGCGGTTTAATTAAGTTTTAAAAAAGTAATAGTCAATGATTATTCATATAGACGATCAATCGAAAGATAGATAATCTATATTTTTAAAGTTTACATCATATCATATCTATACCAAATAATATCTATGGCTTCTTGAGTTAAAATGATCAAAATCCTTTCACTATTACAAAAGCACGAATTATTCGTTAAATTCGTTATTGACCTGTCACGAAATATCTCTACGATAAACGTAATTATTTGATACACCATCTATAATCCATCGTCAAATAGAATTAATATTACTTGCTATATACTATAGTTGTTTCAACAACTTGATTAATTCAGCAAAACTATTTACACTTATTCACCTATAGGTCACATGTCAAGCCGTTAAATCAGTCAATAACACTTGCATTATAGTAGACAGTCTACAACTCCCCTTAGCATACCGTCTTTCCCCAAGCCCCACGTGAACTCATGATGCTCCATTCACTAGACTGTCTTTTTATTCGATCACAGTATTAAAACATCGATCACTTATAATTATTATTTTATTTTTTATAGGAATTACCAGAATCTCAAAGGGCAGATGCTGTAAGCAGCATGGTATATGAAGCAAATGCAAGACTAAGAGATCCAGTATATGGTTGTGCTGGTTCAATTTGTCAATTACAAAAGCAAGTTAGTGATCTTCAAGCACAATTAGCTAAAGCACAAGCTGAAATTGTCAACATGCAATGTCAACAAGCAAATCTCATGGCACTAATTTGTATGGAAATGGGCCAATCTAATCCACAACCAATATCACCACCACAACAATCTTTAGAAAATTTCCCTATGAATTACTTAGATGATAACATTGGATCATGGGAAACCCTATGGACATGATCGAGTCGATTTAAGGAAAAAACGCTTTCTATACCAATAGATTCATCAGTTCTAACTCAGGTCCTAGAAAATTTCATCGAATACTCAAGATAAATTTTGAGTAAATTATATAGTATTTAAAAAAAAAAAAAGAATCGCGAATAAAATTTATGTAATATTATTTGATTTCTTAGTGAAAGGAAAAATGAAAATTGATGCAAATCTTTAAAGATTTGTGTCAATGTCTAGTCTAGTAATTTTTATTTTTATATATATATATATATATAATATGATTCTAGTCAGAAAAATGGATGGTATTCTTCTACTCCTATGTGTAATGATCATCTATTGTATTATATACTAATTGAATATTACGTTGATAAAAAAAATCATTTAATCATTTGAAATATATTCAAGATCATTTAATTTGTTTAATTATTGAATATACTCATTAAAGGATACATGAGTTTAAAGAATAACATTACATGGTTATTATTTATTTTTTACTTTCTCTGTCTTAATTTTTTGGTCCTCATTTTAAATCGCTACTAAAAAAAAATACTACAATTAGCTATGAACTTCGCTATTTTGATTGTAGCAAATGAAAATCTATCGCTAATTGGTCGCTAAGTGAGATTAATAATGGATTTTAATGTTTATCTACAAAATTTATTTGTCCACGCTACATTCAGTTTTTTTAGTAGTGCTAATCTTGTGATTTTAAGTTTAAAATATGTGAATCTTGAGGTCTTAATCATTTCATGTGAAAAATTTAAAATTTAGAAATCGTAAAATACCAAAAGAATCTTTTTTTAATTAAATGTATTATAAAAAGTATGACAAATAAAATAAAACGGAGCGATTACTTAATATTGAATTGATGTATTCCATGTGAATTCCCAAACGGTTGACTCCCTATTCTCTTTGTTTTTTGGTGACTTTTTACCTTTCAAACGTAATAGTTCTTTTTCCACATTTGATAAGTTCATTTGTGTTTTGTCAATAATTAATTAACCAACTATGTCTTGTCACAACCAACTTGCAATTTTGCACACTCTATTTAATTTAAAATTTTTTGAATTAAGCAAAAAGAAAAAACAAAAAATATTACTTTTCTTGGTTTTCTTTTGGTTTTTCATTCGATGGTAGAGTTTCAATTAAATCTGGATCGCATACTGTAACGCTCATTTAGGAGATAATATTCTCAGTAAGATTCTCTTCATAATCAAAGCTCGAACTCGAAATCTCTTATTAAGAGTGAAACAATCTCATTACTGTACTATAATCCATATTGATATTTTTTTTAATTTTCATTATATCGAAACTTAACCAAATAGTATTTTATTTTTTTCTTTCGACCAAAATCTTTTGTGGCTACACGAGACATGAGGATATAATTGTACTAAGAATTTTTTTTTGTTGTTGATTATTGAATTATATAAATCCTCCTCAATTAAAAAGGTTATTGTTATTCTCTTGTATGGAGTCACGCATATAGTGAACAATAACTATTTGTATCACTGTATTATAGTGTATAGTATTGAAATCGTATAAAATACAATTGTGATATATTAAAATAATGTTGAATAGGAGCATATAATTTATTATGATTCATGTTTTAATATAACGAAATTTCTAATCCCATGTTTAGAATATAAAGCTCCTACCAATAGTTCTTATGTTATGTACGTACATTTCTTCAATATCTTCTTCATTCACAATAAAATTTCTTTTTTTTGCGCATCGACAAAAGATCATGTTTTTTGGGAGAAGAGCCAAAGAAATATCATTTCACTAAATTCTGAATACTGGATATGACCTCAGGATAACAGAAGTCAAAATCGACTAGTTAAATGATGAAGATAAACTTTATCGTCGAAAGGAAAATAGCTCGGACATGTCACACCATTTTTTTGTCAGCTTCCCAAACACGTATTATAATTTGTTTACAACTCTATTAATAATTTAAAATTCCAATTTTTTTCCCCATAAATCATAACTATCAATGACAAAGATATAGTTTGGACATATCACTTTGGTTAAAAAAGAGAAGAAGATTTTGTTGCAATTCCTATATATTCAATAACACAATTTCAAACTTGTTTTCCTTAAAAGCCTATTGTACCTTCTTCTTCTTTTTTGTTTTTTTTTTCAAATATACATCTATATATATATGGTAAAGAATATATATAGTAGATTGTTAAGTTACATAAAATATCCTTTGGTAATTTGTACATATTCTAACAATGAGATAAGGGATGTTATTTGGCTTTTTTTCCTTTTCAATCGGAAATTTATATCGTATATATATCGATGGTGATCCATGGAATATTAAAGATATTATTATCAGTTAGATTATGATACTATTTATTAAATATTGTGTCACAAATAGTTATCGTTTAAATAATATAATTGTATAAGAATATATTGATGATAGGAAATATCAATGGTTATGTCCAAAAATCAATTACATTACAAAAATGTTTGTTAAGTAGTGTCATATAATAACGTCACATGTAATTATCGTTTAAATAATATAATTGTGTAAATATATAGGTGATAATGAATATAAATTGTTATTTCACATGATATTTGATCGATCGTTTGGTAAAATGTACATATCGACAATGTGATAAGGCACATTATCTTTTAGGGATAGAAATTCGCTTATTCTAAACTATTCTGTTTTTATGTTTTATACAATAATATTGATAGCAACATTATATAACTATCAAACATGTTATAATTGGCTATATATATCTTAAGTACTTCCTAGTAATCAATGTTTATTAAATAGTATATTACGTTTAATTATCATTTAAGTAACGTAATATAGAGAGAGAGATATTTACAAAATAACAAAAATGTGAAAAAGAAAGAAAGGAACAGGACAGAAATAATATATCAAGATTATTGAAAATGATACATATAAGTGAGAACAAACAAAGTTGGTCATATGCATATTCACAACTCATGAAATAGATAATGATAGCACACATGCATGTATGTTTTGATTTCTCACTCGGTGTCAGATAGCTGGTTTGAGACTCAAATTAATATATGTCGCAGAAGGACTATTAAAAGAGAAAAGGAGGAGGGAAGGGATATTTTCATGACTCGTACTTGATGATCTCTAGCTACAATTCTATTAATATCCAACCGCACAGTCTAGTTAGGGAACCTTTGTTCAACGAGTGTCAATAGAAACTCATGTTTCATTGCTTAGTGAAAGCAAATCTGCAGCAACCATGATTCACGTCATTGATCGTGGAAAATCCTCATAAAATAGATGAAATTTCTTTGTCCATAATGTAAATATCTTTAGAGGGTGCAAAACGATTTTCTCTTTTGGATAGTTAACCCTAGTTGTGATATCATGATTAAAAAAAACTATAATATATTTATTCATTATATATTTTTCAAGGACCACAACATTATAAGGTAAAGTAGTTCATTAAACACAAAATGAGAACCAAGACATTATTGATGAAGCTTGATACTAACATCTACTAATTAGCCAACCACTTACCACTTTTTATCATTATGCCTCATGTATGGGACCAACACAGAGTCCTAAAAAGGCTTTAAAAAACCCTTTTATTATCTCATCTATACATTAGTCTTCTTGTTATACTTTTTATTTATTTATTTATTTCATGCAATAGAATTAAAATATAATGTATAAACATTTGCGCAGCCTTTAGACAATCCCCTTTTACATTGACAACCAAAAAAAACACAACAAATCATTTTCATGATACATGTAAAACCAAACATCATTGTATAATCTTTATGTTGACTTTCCATTAAAAAAAATGTATATATATTGTCAGCGTAAAAAATTTATGTGTCCACGTAACTTGATTTATGTTTTCATAATTATATTCTCTTGCATATAAGAATATTTATATAAAAATAAATAAATATCTTTCGAATAACTTGATGACAAAATATACATTTTCAACATAAAATATTATCGTACGAAATTCCTTTGGCTCTTCCTTTTATGGGACATGAGATTTGATTTTTCATTTGTTGTTCGGTATTGACTTTAGTGTTTGATTAAATTCGAGTTCACACCGGGAAGTTCCTAATAAAGATGACTCTATATTCAGAGAGATTTAAATTCAGATTTAGAATAAAAAAAAATATTTATCACTCTATCATGATCCTGATTAATAAAAGAAAGAAAATATGATGAAAAGTAATACTACCAGAAAGTTGATTAGTACAAAAAAAACGCGTTATTTAATTATTTGTTTTCCTTCATCATCAGTCATAATTTATCTCTTTAGTTTCTCTTGAGTCAATATTCCATTTCACCTTTTCCACTTTTAGGTTTGACAATGAGAGTGTGTTTCATGTTTTTTGTCGGATCGGTGAATTTAAGATTTAAAATTTATAAATTTTATGGTTGTGTTAAAATTTATATACATATAACCTACTAACTGAATTCACAATCGAATATTTATTGTTGTGTAATAAAAACATTTTATACATATATATAAAATTTAAATAACTTTGAATTCAGTATAAGTGAAATCTTTCAAAAGTTCCGAGTCTATTGCATTGAAAATTTCTAAATTTTTTATATATAGCATTAAACCAAATATGTATATTAAATCTATTAGTACCAAATGATGTCTTCGATGCCGAATATAGTTATATATTAGGTGAAACCTTTATAATAGTATACGCATATGCTCTTACTTATGTGCTAAAGAAGTTATTTTCTTCATAGCTATCTTAAAATTTTTACTTTCATATTAATTATTCCAACACACTCTTAAACATCATTATTAATCACTCTAGTACTCAAAAACTCATCAAAACAATCTCTAATTGATTGATTTTGAAAAATGTTTCACTTTTCATGTTCTAGAAAAAATAATTTTTTTTATTGAAAATGACTTCAATGTGCCAATTACACATTGAGTGGGACAAAGTTTAGGTGTGATCATTTATAACATCATCAAAGTGTTACATCATTGTAATCCCTACATTATTATGTCTCTAACAACTCTTTTTTGATCACTTTTTAAAAATTATTTTAAAAAGTTCTGTCAAATATAATACAAAGTTATTTCTCCACCTAATGACGTTCATAATTAGGTGATGAAAGTACATATAATTGGAGTAATATTTTCGAGAACATATAGTGTATATACCTTGAAATTATTCTTTTAAGTGATAGTGCTATTTGCTAAATGTATATTCGTATTATAATTCGATTAATCCACCGGAATAGTAGATATGAAACAAAATTGCATGTTTTTTTTGACAAAATATATTTGTATTATTATTATTATTATTCATATATTATCTTGTTTTTCAATTTTATTATTACTTGTTCTCGCCATTATGTTCAGCATAACTATATTTCATTGTTGTATTTCCAAAAGTTTATAGAAAACAACTACTCTATCTTCATTGTGTACGTAACATCCTCTCTAGTCCCACTTATTGAATTACACTAAATATGTTATCGTTGATATATTGATTGATTGAGGAAGAGCTCTTTCGCACGAGGGTCCCAAATAACTATGACCAAGCGACCAATATTCATCTTTGTTCGACTAGTAGGCCTCACAGTACTCATGCAGGCTTATTACATCATTACGCTCATGGGCAGAATATTAGCTTGAGGTTATTTTCACATGCATCCATTACTCTTTAGAAAGCATAAACCCATACCTAAACTATCCAGAGTGTTACGACGTCTTCTCCAAATACTGATAATTCTATGCATCAAAATTTAGATAAATAATTTAGACATGAAAATACCTAATTATGTGGTATAATAACTATTATAAAATGATGTTATATCACACCAAGTTTCAATACTTATCTATTTTTCAATTTTCATATCATATTGCAAGTATTTAAGTCATTCAAATTGTCAAAGTTCTTATGTGAGCAAGAAAAAAGGAGGTCTAAATGCATTGACTAATTAATGACATGATAAATCAGAGATAACCACATATATTGTCAATAGTGTATAATGGGCAAATTTTTCTCTTTTTCTAACTAATTCTTTATCTTGTCATCTTTTTTTCCTATGATTTTCAACCCTGTGGTACTACAAAATCCAGAAAGTAGGCTTGTGTCTTTAGACTTAACACTCACGATTGTATTTTTTTCCCAATAAAAATATGATGTGACATTAGTTTTCTCAACTTTTTTATTCCTTCTATATCCAGTTTACTTATAATTGTCTCTGGTATTTGCCTAATGCATCCAGAAGACTTGAAAAACTTGCAAGAAATTTAGGTACTAGCACATTAATTAGAGAAAGTGACATGTACAATTTCCCATTAATGTAGGCATTGCAGAGAGTACAAAACGAAAGAGACCAACAAGGGTCGTATCATGTATGGGATGAATAAGATTCCTTCACCTTTGGTTAAAGGCTTAGGTTCGAACTCTCTAAGTACAGAAAATCATGCTAAGGGACGCTTCCCCCTTAAATGGACCTTACATGGTCCTGAATTAGTCGAGCCTCAATTAAGGTACTCAACACCCGATAGAAAACCAAAATAGAGAGAGATACAATGTCACTAAGAAAATTAACTCAATATGCATTATCATTTCAGTATAAATCATTGTAACATACATTTAAACACAGCATTGACAATTACTGTAAGTCTGTAACTGATATAGCTGTCAAGGTTTTCTATTATTTTTTAATTACAAATAAACGGAAAGGTAAAAGTGACCGAGATGTGAGAGGGAGAGCTTTCGTTTAACCTTAACTGGAAAGACCACCTATTTGTTTGTTTACCGTGTTAAGCACGAAATCATATTCAGCTATACCAAGGATTGCCAAGATATATGGTACTTACTGAGATTCCTCCTCCCTTGGGAATAATCAACCAAGAAAATGAAGAAAGGGAAAGTCGGGGCGAAATAACCAACTCTGTAGACTCAGGTTTCTTTAGTGGGTCGAAATGAGACAACCCCCAATCAACAACGTATTAGTGTATCGAAGTTAAACTCTTTACTTACAACTGAAAGTAACATTTTTCCTCCCTTAAAAATAATATTGTTTGTGTGCAAAACTAGAAATAGTACTTTCTTGTTAAACCTCTTTCATTGATCCTAAATTTACTGCTAATCAAATAAGTATGGCAACTTTGCTTTTCACTTGCAAAGTTGGAGCTGTGAAAAAACACAGACTGAGATCTAAAACCGCAGCCTAAAGGTGAGAGAAAGGACATGCCTGTAAATTCGAAGACTATAGCAACAACAGCTGGGAATTGTTATCAATCCCATTAAAGATGAATGTCCCGGACATGGGAATGAATTGTCTCGTGATGAGCTGCAGTGAACACAACATAATAGACCTCAGATTATCGCTCCTATGGCACATAGCTATATGTCTATTAAACTAGAAGTTTTGATGAAAAACAATATTCAAGATGAAAATATTTGGAGGAGATTCAAACCTTGATCACTTCTTGTGATGCAACTCCTCCGACAAAGGCAGACACGACATGAAGCTCAGAAGCACCATACCGGCACATCTCATTAATAAGGTCCTCTGATACAGTGGAGCTATTGCAACCAAGGTCATTGAGTAGGCTAACAGCCGTAGTTTTTAACCGGGATATATCCTCATCCATCTCACTACCAAAATATTTTGTAAGGTTAGTGAAGCATAATAAACTTTTCCAGAAAGATAAAATTTGTTTGGGTGAGAAAACATCAGCTTTTACCTGTCAAATTCACTAGGAAATTTATTATAGTTTACAGCAAACCGGTCAGCTGCTCGAAGAAGAATATAAAGACCCGCAGCAGTACTGTCAAAAAAAGGGGTAGAAAAAAGTTCCAACTGAAAGAGTTCTTATGCAAAATTGTAACAGTTCACAAGAAGATAAGCTTTGAGCATCCATTCAGCACATAGAATATTCGTTATCTACAAGAATATCAACTAATTGAACAAATAAATATACTGCACAATGAATGCAATTGGAAAGTTTTCATGTCGACAACTATCAGTGGACTGAGTATAGCAGAAGATTAAAATTTTCTTTGTTTCAGGGTTATTAACAGAAGAAAATAATGAGGAAATATTCCTTTTTGGCCAACATGTATTACATTCAATATGAAACATAAACTTAGAAAAAGAAGGATAGGAAGAGATTTAAATTCTGGACCTCCTTTATACAACAATTAATATCTCAAGTCAGACTCTTCTTAAACTCTTTTCATATTCATTTCTTTATGTTTCCCCTTACATTCAAATGCCAAAGGTGGTCCACTCATGGGAAACGAACTGACAGACACATCAGAAAGCCATTGTTAATACAACAAACCACTTCAGAGCATCCCAACGGCTACATTGCTTCAAAGACCGAGTGTCTATCATCATTGCACTAAGCATTGAATACTATAACTGTAGCCAGTGTTATTCTGATTCCACATACTAACTTTATGGTGGAAGCATTTTAAACAGAGCTTGAACAATATTACATCCCATATATTTCTCAGCTTGAACAATATTACATCCCAAATATTTCTCAGCTTTAATAATATTACATCACTAATATTTTTCAAGTCAACCCAAGACCAGCAAAAGATTGGACTGTGAAATATCTTTTGGCTGAAAAACATAATGTCAGTTCCCTGTCAAACATCCTGAATGACCAAGTAGGCTGCAGTTCTAGGTCTAGCGATAAAAGTATTTCACAACTCACTTTTCTCTTGCTTTTTTCCCAATTAACCATTGGTTTACCATTTCTTAGTACAAGGTACCATTGATATGAATAAGTGGTGCAGCAGTTTGCACTATCAGCATGACTACCGCAAGAACTAGAAAATACACTATCTCCAAAAGACATTTAAGACAAAGTGTAAGGTAACCAACAGACTAACTCTTCAGAAGCAATTCCATCCCAGGGGCAGAGCTAGGATTTTGAGCTTTGTCGGTTCTGAAGTTTACAAAAGGCATGTTCACAGAATTCTTGATAAATTGTTTATATATACTAAGTGGGTATTTAAACTCAAATACAAAGTCTGGACCAAAGTTGTTCTGCAGAAGCCATAAGTCAAACTATAGCTCCCCTGCACCATCCTAATCCTTGCTGAATTAAATATAGTCATCTAACCAAAACAAGACTTCATATAATATGAATCAGCCACTACTCATCAACAGGGCAGTGCTTATTTTATTCCTACCAAGCTTCCACTTACACTTTGATCAGCATCACTAGGAATTTAGTCATATGACTTCTTATTAGCTTTCTGCTCTGTCTTGACAAAAAGTGAGAATCACTTGCAAAGTAGTTTTCAATCAAACCATAGTTGGCTGATAACATAGAGACCTCTAGACTAAATAGTGCACTTCATCAAGTCAAGTACGCAGACAACTTGAAGAGAGATTTATTTAAAGAACTCGAAATACTCCTACTTCAACAGAAAGGTCATGATAACCTAAATTATGACTTTAAAATTCTATATTTCAACATTTGGAAGTGCATATGTTTCTGCATTAGAAACCCTGGGAAAATGTATCCAGAAAAAGAAATCTACCACGAAATGGCAGGGGGCTTTAGCTTTGATAAACTTACTTTTCAGGAAGTACTTTAACAGAGTTGGCTTCTTGCAAAGTCCTGTTATTTGGTATCACAAAACAATCTAAGTATCATGAAAGGATCATGTGGGTTCAGATAGCTTTAGGATGTGTTTGGTACGAAGGAAAATGTTTTCCACGAAAATGTTTTCCTAGAAAATAATTTCTTGGAAAACAAGTAGATTTTTGACTTATTTTTCTCATGTTTGGTTGGTGAGTAGAAAATATTTTGCGGAAAAGATTTTTTAGTGTTTGATTTATGAATGAAATATATTGTTGAGGAAATATCTTGTAATTTTACTAGAGAGTAGAAAATACTTTTGAATTGAAATTGAATTTTTTTAAAAGAAAAAATAATTTTTTTTGGGGGGGAGAGGGGGGGGGAGGGTAAAAATGCGGAGGGGCTGGAGGCCGGGGGTCAAGGGTAGGGGTGGGGTAAGGGGCTGGAGGGAGGGGGGTTAAAAAAAATTCAAAAAAATAAGCTTTAAATTGACTTTTTCAACAAAAAGAAGTTGTAATTTAAAGTTGGATGAAAGTTTTAGAAAATGTTTTCCTTAAATTTTCGAAAGGAGGTCATTTTCCTTAAATTTGGGGAAAATGAGTTGATTTGGAAAACATTTAATCCAACCAAACATGAGAAAATTGGAAAACATTTTCCTTCATACCAAACACACCCTAAATGATCCCAAGAAGCCCCTTTCCACTTCAATTTATATCACAGATGATTTTGCCAACTTAAAGTGATTCAACCATGTAAAACCATATACCTACAGTAAGCAATTACATACCCATGACCCTCATCTGTCAGATACTTCTGTAACTCTGATTGGACAGGAGAGTTGAACTCCTCCTCAATGAGGCGATATCTGCAAACCTGACATAATTAACAGAAAAAATTTAATGCCTAGAAACTAAAACATCCATTCAGAAATAATGATCTCAAATTTGAAATGGAGTTTGCTGACAATTAGTGGCGGGAATTATTGTTATCTTTACGATCAAAACATGCATCATCATGTCAGTACAGTTTCTTGTAAATTTGGTTCCAACAGTCATCACCTTGATATATATTTAAACATAAAGCATCATTATTGTAATATATTATCACTAACACAACAATTAACTAGATCAACCACCAAAATCATTAATATGCATGTAGGAGGGGGAGATTTAAGATTATTCCTCCAACAGAGCAGCTGAAGACACTTAGTGAAGCATATAGTTTTTCTTCTGAGCCATTGAGCGCTTTCAGACAACTGCTTGAATCAATAGGCGGGGCAAGAACAGGAAATGTGAGTTTCCAACCTAGCACCCTCTGCCTGACAGGATCCCACATTTGTAGCTGTAGTGAAGGACCTAGAACGCATGTGCTTAAGCAAGGTAACCCATTTAACGATTAGCGTCTTTTCTATAGATGGGCTCCTCAGAATGAAGCCAAATTTTACCACTTGGAGGAGAGGGTTGGAGATGAAAAAGAGCTTTGTGAAAAGAGAAAAACAGACGGGATCACAAACTTAAAATCAGAGGAATCTCTCTGCATCAGAGTCGAACAAGTTGATATATGGTAGTCTCTATAGCAAGAAGTACAATGTGTTTCGAATTGTCAAACTGAATGAAGATTCACCATTCACGTAGCACAAATATGCAATTCTAGATGAATGAGCATGCAACTAATGGAAGGGGAAAGAAGAAATGCCCTTACAGCAAGCTTCCTTGCATTTTTTGAGAAGTTCTTTATGTTTGCCTTGGAGATGCTGGCTGGATCCCTACCGATTTTTTTAAGTAAATTCCTGACTCTTTGCTCCATAACAAGAAAATCAGCCTCGGCTTTGGCTTGGTAGGTTTTTTGCAAGTTTACATACAACCTGCAATAGAGTCAACCGTATAAGCATCAATAAACGAAGTCCCGTCAACTTTAATAAAAAATTAATGTGTTGTGAAAAAACTTAAACCACTAACTCAGTTGATGATGTCATATCTGGTATCGACCCCTCAAGAGGTGTCTCGCCACCACCTTCATTAGCTATGAACTCCTAGAGAGAGAAAAACAATAAATCACATTGATCAACAATTTTAACCAATGCAAAGAAATATCAATAAGGGAACTTAAGTAGGCTGCTTAATACAGGTTGTCAACGATTGTTTAGTTGCTGCAAAAGAAAAAGAACAAACTTTTGAAGTAAGATAAGGAGAGATAAGGTGCTAGTTTCTTGTGGATCCTAAAAGAATAATGCATATACAAATTAGCATATAAACAAATTAAAAGAAAGATATTGACTAATGGGAGGATATTTTTCAAGGAATCTCAAATTAGTTCCCAAAATATACTACACTTCTCTGGACAACTTTGCAACTCAAATTTTCTTGTGCAAATGTGGTTGTTTCTAGCAACCAAGACACAGAGGTTAAAAGGACCATAGCACTATAGAGGACGAAGCTAAAGCCTTTGGCCTAGCATTACTCGGGTAAAGATCTTAGTGAAGGCACTTCCCTACATCTCCTGCCCCTTCCAATTTTTGAAGGAAAAGGCACATAAGGAAAAATTGAATGTAGAAACTAAAATATGTGCATGCAGCCTCACCAAAAAAGAACCAGTGGAACTCGTAGTTCGACACTTTATAATCAACTTAAAGCTATCAAATGTAGGACTGATTTAGACATCAATTTGCTACTTAGAGCTAAAGAAATGGACAAGAAAAAAAAAACATAAGCAGGCAAAATATGTTTTAAGTAGAGCTGTCAACACATGAATTTTTCTTTTAATCAGGTTAATGCAACTAACGGAGTTGCATTAATTGTATAACTTGTGTTCCTGCTTTCTTCCTACTATTGTTTTTCCAAGAATATGCAAGTTACCTTCAGTGCTGCTACCATCACCCAAAAATCAGACGAACTTGAATCAACTTCTGTACAGCTGTCATCAATAATCTTCTGTAAGCTTACACCTGGTAGACAAAAGAGAAAAGTCAATCATACATTTCCAACCTCATCATGCCTGTTCCAAATTAAGATTCCACATAACTATATTGAAACCGGCATAATATCAAGTTCCAGAAAAAAAAATCATGAGTATTCTTTTTGTTTGATGAACTAAAGTATATACAGTAACTATGATACCATTACAAGTTAGAAATCCCAACTCTAGATCCACTTATTCTTTGGGATATGCATCGCTCCAAAAGACTTCTATCACAGAGTTATCCTATTGCATTAAAGAAAAAGAGAGTCTGAGTTGAAAAGAGAAAAGTTGTGTCAGGAGTTAAGTTTCTTTGGAGGTCTTGGAAAACCGAAGGTTTGAGAGAAAATTGTTGGAGGTAAACAGAGTTCTAAAACCACAGTTGTAACTGACTGAAAGGAGTTAAGAGAAAATCGTTGTTGGTGAACGATTTCTAAAACCACATTTGTAGTCGACTGAAAACTGAGAAGGAATAATATTAATTTGTTGCTCAAGGAGACTGGATGTAGGTACCACATCAATACGCAAACTAGTATAGCAATTATCTATGTTGATTTTACTTTATTTCATACGTCTTGGTACATCTAACTACTACTCTGAAGTTATTGAGTTTATCGGCAGATACAGAAAACGTCCATTCTACTCTACTAGTTTTTAATAGAACACAATGCATCCCCTAGTCGACATCCTAGTCTTGTTTTATCACTTAACTCTAGATTCACACACAATTAGGAGAATATCTTTATTGAATAGTAGAAGAAAAATATCCCTAATATTTTAAAATATGGGATTCAAAAGATTAAAAGTGACATGCAGCTTCAAAGAAATTTCAGAGATTTTAATTAAAAGAACAATAATTGTACTCTCAATAAAATTTTCAAATCATGTATTATTAAAGGTGGAGTACTGCAAGGCTTGGTTATGGGCTTAATTCGATGCAGCTTCAAAGAGATTTCGGAGATTTAATAGTAGAAAATTTTATTTTGATCTTCTTACTTCTACTATGAAATCTCTTCGAAGCTGTGCATAAGATTGTTCCCATGACATCATGTTGACGGCTGCTTAAAGAAATATTTAAAAACATAGATGGACTGAAGAAATATTTTTTTTATTAATGTGGATACAATGTCAGTGAAAAGAAACCACTATCCACTAAAAACAAGGTTTGAATCATTAAGGTTGCATCCCAAAAACTCAACAGACTATAAGAAGTACCACCAATAACATTTAGAGGAGATGGAAAAACATTATAGTTTCTAATCACAATTAGCAAAAGTACTCACCAATGCCTCGTGGAGAAAAGACCTTGTATGAAGCTTCCATGGCTTCTTTATAGTTCTCTTCGTCTGCTGTGATCATCTTGGACTTAATTAAATCCTAAGACATTCAAGAAATAGACCAACTCACCTTAGATTGACCAAAAGAGAACGATTAAGGATGAAATTTTAGAAGCATATAAAAAGTATTTCTGACCTTGAATTGCCTTTTCTCTTCCCTGGTTGAAGGAAGATTTCCACCATGAGTATTTGCCCATTCCTCTGCTATCTTAACAAGGATAACAATATATGGTGTGTGTTTTTGTACAACAGCATCAGTTGTGTTCAAATCAATCGTTTCTGTGAACCTGTAAGGGATACATATGAAATCAGCTCTCGCTTTCTTTTCTTTTAATTTGGGAGGGGGGAGGGGGATGTAATTGCTAACAAGGAGAAAGAACATATGGCATTTGGGTTTGGTGTATTGGACAAAATAATCACTGTATAAAATTATGTACTAATTAATCTAGTGTTTGTTCGTGTTCTCAATTCCTGCATAGCTAATACTGTTTAAGTTATACCTCAAATACTGTATTGTTTTATACCGGCTAAATGATGGAATAACAAGATAGGTATTACTAGTACCTGAATAAACATCCAGAAGACAAAAAATACCCTCAATATTAACATTTCATCTTCAAAGCCATTTCAGAAGTTCAACAACGAAGTAGAAAGTTATAAATCATCAGTTATCCTCCATTCAATATTTCTCTGATTATATACACAAAGGGCATCAAACACCCACATACAATAAATAAATATATAGGGAAAAGTAAAAAGTTTTATAAAAAGATTTGATTTTCTACAAACAAAAGCCAATATTCTATATACCTACCAGGACCCCACGGGTGCACCAAGAGGAAATCCAGAAAAGGACGCTATTTCTTAGGTGTACATAGTCCTTCTCTATACTATCAAATGCTCTCCTATTTCTCTCTCCAAATAGTCACATAGGTTCTAGTAGAGCGACAACTCATAACCTGTGTCTTCTCTCACATCCACTAAATCTCAGGTTAACCAATACTTCTTTGATTGTGCCTGGCACCACCCATTGAAGACCAAACCAATGCAGTACTAGACATTACCTGGCAATGTAAAATAGATATACTAGGGAGTACGACTACCCTTTTCTTCCAAGTTATTACCATATTCTTATCAGATCATAAATGAAGCCGCTTTTATGATCTGACAAGAATATGGTGATATCATCCGCAACTTATAAGAAAACGATAACGTTATAGCCTCTACTCCCTAGAATATCTTTTTTCAACAACAATGGTGTCCATGCCAACTTGTGCATAGCATATCGATTATTTCACCATTTCCTTCTACCTCTTACCAACACAAGTATCAGGTAAGTTTGGTTATCAAGACTTAGGCAGATAAAAAGAATCACCAAGTGATTTTTTGTCTCTACTGAAATCTGAATCTAGGTCTCCGGGATTTATATCCACTTGATTGATCATTATACTACACTCTTGGGTGCCCCTACTTCCTGGCATATACTCCCCACTCCACAAAATCATCCTAAAGAAAATAAGACACACGGGTGCGTGTGTTTAAAAATAAGAGATGGTGCTAAGTGAACAGATCATTATTTATTGTAGAACTCTAACATTCCAACCATAGAGGAAAGCACAAAGAAAAGGCTGACCTCGTAAGTTCTGGCCATGGGTTATTAAGCCGAAGATCATCTAGAAAATGATCAGGCTTCGATTCAATTACTGTATGCTCCTGCAGATAGAAGATAAATTCTGGTCAAACATAAACCAAACTCATCATTAATTCTTTGCTCATTCATTGTTTCACTCTGCTCCTATCACTTGACAGTTGTTTCTCTACAAGTTAGTTCCTCACAATAAAAACGATCCAGAGAAGAAATCCATGATAATGGACTAACGGTAGTCACTGCTCCAGACCACAGTTCTCTATCAGTACTGGATTTCAAAGTTGGATCAGTCCTAAAATAGCAAGAAAGAAGCATTAAGATTACCTTCACACTGATCCGGACAAGACCCATGAGACCATAGGAACGTGCAAATATTAAAATAATATTTGCCTCCCGACAGATTCTGTCCAATTTCACCATGGAATCTTCCACCAGCTGAAATAGAAAAGAAAAAGTAAAAGACAATATTGTAAGAAATTTCCTTGTCCTGGTATCTGCTGATAGACAATTAGCCATATTATGCATTTAAATGACCTAATGGCAAAGGAAAAAGAAAGATTCTGTCCAATTTCACCATGGAATCCTTCTCTTATTTAAGGGGGGAAGGGGGTTGTTCTTGCTTCTACAATTAAAGACTGGATAACCTGTTACCGTAATTATGCAGATACAAAAAGAACTTGTTCACTTTTTCAAATCAACATGCTCCTACCTCTTTCAAAAAGGAGATGGCAACAAATATCATCACATATTTCAGAGTATCAAAAAATTGGAAAGATTGCAACTCACAAAGTACCAGTTCAGAAGTACAGATGCACTCAAAATTCAACATACTACACAGTAGATAAGAAGTGTCTTGAAACGACTGTAACTCGCGAAGTGCTAATCAAGAGGCATAATTGTCAGGACTCTTCAAAATTGGCTACACAGTACAGAATATTTTCTGGAAATTCTCCGATCATAAACATAATCAGAATTCAGATTAAAGCAGATTCTACTAAAATGAAACTATAACAAAAGTTCTCTCAAAATGAACACGAACAGAAATTAATACAGTTGGTGTGTATTATAAGACTATATGAGAGTGAGTGTGTATACATGTATACATCATATAAATATAGCGCGCGCGCACACAGACATATAATATATATATATATATATATATATGCAGGGAGGCAGTGTAGATCGGTTAGGCTCGCTATAAGTAGTTTCTCCCCTTCTGTCTTTTTTTGTTTTTTCCTCTTTTGAAGGTCTCCGGCAAATCCTTAATGCTGAGGAATATAACATTACCAGTTTCAAAAAAAAGTATAAGCCTTCCTGATAAAGATATCTAGGTTCTAAAAGAAGTTGGGAACACAGGATCCTGCCAAAATCAAATGTTATAATGAGAACAAGATGATTCATGTGACCTGTGTAGCTATGACCAAGGTAAACTGAGAAAAGAATGATGGATTTGTCTCAATTAGTTCCTCAGGGCAATCTTCTATAAACTTGGCTTTAACAGCATCATTTAACTCTTGAAGAAATGTGCACACACACTTTGCCTTTGATTCGCCAACACTTGATTCATCAACTACAAGAAATAGGAGAGAAAAAATAAGTTTGCTTTCTAAAGCTGTAGGTACAAACACAACCATGTTACATACCCATGAAATTATTTCCAAGATCACCCACTTCAACCTTGGAACCATCAACAACAGTGATACTTCCAACCCCACCAAGAACAAGATTTTTCAACGTTTCGGAACCAGTCGGACCACAGTTAAGTAAGCAGATACTGGCTTTCTCCAGCGCAGCTTGTCCTTGCTCACCCCATATCCTGCAAAAGAGCTTCATTATAATCTGCAATATCGCATACTTGGCTCTTTTTCACTTAATAATCAGCTAATTAGGTTAATTGTGGGTTCCGATTAAAATAAAGAGCATATCTGAGTTGCACTATTAACAAAGGGAATATCTACTCAATTTCAGATACTTTAAGGCATAATTTGACCTATTTCAGTTCTAAATATAGAAAGGTATCATTCTTTTTGGCACAGACTAAAAAGAGAAGTCCATTGCATAAATTGGGATAGAGGGAGTATCTAACTTTACAATGAGCGTGGGTAAATAAATTCAAGTCCTATAGCTAACATATGCTTAACACATCAAATGATATGTGTCTTGTGTGATATGTACATTGTATCTGCATTTATATGCCACTAAGTAGAGTCGGCAAAGGGTAAATAAAAATGGCAATCCATTCAACCAACCCATTTCCAATAAGTGACATTTAAAAAATGAGCTAAATATGGGTCAACCCATATTATCCACTTAAAATATGGACAAAATGGATAATAAAACCTACAACATACCAATTATCCATATCGAAAAAAGAACTTTGCTACTGACTCTACCGGTATAGCATATGCCTCTTCCTCCAGCCAACACTGTCCAGTCTCCGACGACTTCGCCGTAGAGTCCGTCTCTCTCTCTGTCCCTCCTTTTCTTTTTTCTTTTTTCTCCTCAATCATTACCCCCTCCTACCACTACCTCACTGAGTAATCAGGCACATCAATTGTTACCTCCACCACCTCGTTCTTCTTATTGACGTTTTAGGTTAATAGGAATTCTCCGCTCCACTTTTATTTTTCTATTTTACTTAATTTGTGATTTTATTTTGTGTAATCATAAATGTTGTTGCTCTCTATTACTGAGGATGATGGATAGTGGTGGCGAAGAGGTGGTTGGATTTTTACTCCTGGAGAAAGAAAAATTGGACAAATGGGGCTAATGATTTGTGATTATTTTCTTGTGATTTTGCCCTGCTTGTTATTGATTTTGTTCATGAACTACTGTGCATGCTCCTTTGTTGCTTCCCTTTTAGAGTGTACAATATTCATAATATGTAATTGTTGGTTTAGGTAGAGATGTCAATGGAAGGTAATGCTTATTCTTCCGAACAAAGTACTTCAACTTAGTTAAAACAAGGCAAAAGGAAAACTTTTGTTGTTTGAGATTCTTTTGTTAGGTTTGAGTCGGATTTTTCTAGTGATGGGAAGTTTAAAGTGCAATGCACACTTAGTGAACAAGAATACGTAATGGCCCCTACATCTGGAACATCAAATCTAAAGGAAAATTTGTCGGTAAAGCATTCTTTTTCTTTGAATAAGGGAAAAGAGGCTCAAGCCTAAAAGTGAACCAATAGATCAAAAAAATTTATTGAGAGAAAATATCATTGGTCATATGAAGTGTCCATATGTATACATAATTGCTTTCAGTTTTGTAGAACATAAAGGCATCATGGATATTCATTCGTATTTAAATCCAATGGTGAGGCACATTATCAAGAAACACAGCCAAGTCAGATACCCCAAATATGTATGCAAGAGAAAAAGAACTTCTAAAAATTGAGCTTGCGATGATATCTTCTTTTTGTTACGAAATAAGGTATTTCACTAAAAAGCATCAAGCAGATGCAATCTTACAGTATAGGCAAAAGGGCTCACAGAGAGCATAAGCAAAAGTTCTAAGCCCCTTTACAATCTTCAAACTAGTACTAGAAAGCTAACAAAGTCAAGAAATTATTCAATGCTAAATACAAGGGTTAAACTAACCCAACTGCACAGCATAAGTAAACATCTAGCTTAAAGAGAGTGGTTCGGAGTTGAGATCCCATCAAAACATCTACAGTTACTTTCAGTCCATGAACACCAAAAGATAACTCCAGGGATCATCACCCGGACTTTCTTGATGGACTTATCAACTCTCCATATATTCCAGCTTGCGATGATATCTAGTAGAGTGTGCTTGACATCAGACATGTGGAGTTCATTATATATGTATGTAATAGCGCATTATGCGGACTTAAATTGAGTTTCTCATAAGAGGATATTGATTTTTTGTCACGTTCCTCCTCCACTTTCAGATGCAGTTTTAGGTCATTTATTGATTGATTTTCTATAAGAATGGGGGAAGAAAATCTTTACCCTTCCTTTAGATAGTGCTACTTGCAATAACGGTGTGGTAGATAATTTGAAAAACCATTTTTCTTTGATGCGTTCACTAGCTTGTGAAGGAAAGTTTCATCCTGCTCGTTGTGGAAATCATGTTCATAACTTAATTGTTAAGTGGGTTTAGAGAAGGCTGATGTAGCTATTGAGAAAACTAGAGAAGATGTTAAGTATATCAAGAATTCAGAAACAAAAACAGTGGGAAATTTGTGGAATGCGTGACCTTGGTCTACCACGTTCTAAAAAGCTATGCCAAGATATGCCTATTCGGTGGAATTCTACCAATCAAATGATTGGAAGTGTTCTTTTGTATAAGCAGGTATATATTCATCATGACTTGGTTAATCCTGATTTTAGACATGGCCTTTTTGAAGATGAACGGAAAGGGGTTGAGCTTGTAGCTACATATTTTAGGGCATCTAATGACATTAAGACTTTTTTCCCGATGCAAGTACCCCACGGCAAATTTTGTATCTCCCTAATGTATGGAGAATTAAAATGTTATTGAAAAAACACAAAAATAGTAAGGATTCAGTGATGAGTGAGATAGCAATTTCTATTAAGAAATATTGGGAATCATAGTGTCATTTATCTATAGCCATGGTCCTTGCCCCTCAATATAAACTATATTTTGTTAAATTTTGATTTTAAAAGCTTACTTCTGACACTATTGATGAAAAAGTGAAGGTTGTTGAAGATAATTGATAAATTTTGTTCAAAGAGTACTTGATACCTTCTACTACGACCTCGTTAGCAGAGGAACATGTTTTGCATAATCCAAATTGACAATCCATATAAAAACACTAAACATGTATCGACTAAACACAATTGACTATATACTTACTCCAAGCTAGGAATAACTCCTGAATATATGCAACTACTACTTGACACAAATTTTGCACATACCGTAAGTATAAATATGTAACTAGATAATCTCAATCCCTTTTCTTCTCTCTTTCTATAATAACCAAGAAATCTGCTATTCCCAGCTTTAAAAATCCATTGATGCCAACCCTCTTCCTTCTCCACTAAAATATTGCACTTGGTGCACACTTAAACCTGGAGGACTTCCCTCTACCCTTTTTTTTTCCACTAATTTCGGTGTACCGTTCAGCTTGCACGCAACTCAAAACTAATTCTACGAATACCTACTACCTCCAACACTAGCACCAACAATAAGTAACCTCTCCCTTCAGATATGACCGGGACACACATTGTTCTCGTCCTTGACTTAAAACTAAAAAGTATGTATTATTGGAACAGAATGAGCCTCCATATAATGCATAAGATACAGAGCATTACCCATCCAACCTCAACTAATTTGGAATTGAGTCGTAATCAACTGATATTTCATTTATATATGATTTTGCTGCATTTTCTGATTTCTGCTATGATTATTGTGAGAACAGTAAGAGCTACAAGTTCAGCGGTAGAGTAGTAACAGATTTCAGAAAGTAATTTGGTTAGAAAAAGAGATCAAAACAAAAACCGAAAGCTAAAAAACCGTAGCATAGCCTTAAAAGTATAGCAAACAATTCACCTGAGCTGTCGATCGTATTTGACTTTAGGTTCCGCCATTGTTGTATATGTGAGAAGACTGATAGAGAAAGTGAGAGAACTTGGTACTGGAAAGCAAAACCTTGAAGGGGGAGTAAGTGTAATCAATTTTGCAATCAATATAGTAACTTAATTTTTTATTAAAAAAGAGATGCATATATATTAAGAAATAGTTTAATATAGTCCTTTATTTTTGGGTTAAAACGTAAAGTCATCCAGCATGAAATACTAATAGTCCTTTGTGTTTATAATATTGATATTTTAATTTTTTTCAAATTTTTATCTATTTTTTAACATTGATTTTATCTAAATACAGAATGTCCAATCGTCATTTTATAGCTTAGAGAAAATAATATCTAATGATAGTTTCATTCAAATTTTACCTCCGTGACAGCCAAAAAATAAATTTTTTTAAAAAAATAATACATAAATTTACATTATTTTTAATCAAAAATCTGAAAATATTATTAGTAATTTTAAATTTATTAATTCATCAGTAAACTCAATATTTAGAAGTTGAAACAACAAATATTCAATATAAATACTAGTTATTTAATTTATAGTCATTTTTACGAACTACTTATTAGTAATCATTTATAGTGAATTCGGTATAGTTAAATAATAATACTTTTAATTTAATATTAAAGTCGTATATATACGATCTATTTCATTGTTTATTTTCACCATCTTATACATTACATAAATTCATAAAATAAAAATGTTATTACTTTGTTAAAAATTGCATTAGATTCTTCAAAAAAGTTTTTACAATCTACAAATTCGGTTAAACAGCAATAACGAGGGATGCTAATATTTTTTAAATCCTTTTAATTATACCGGATCAATTGTCATTATCGTTATTTTCAAATAAAGATGCTAATATAGAATAAAATGTGTAGTTGACAATTGATTAATAGATTGAGGGACTTTTGACTATTTTCTCTATTTATAGATATATCAAATAATTAGGTAGATTTTTATTTTTATATAAATAAACCTAGCACATATCAAATCATAAAAATTTACAAAAAAAAAATATTTTTTAAAAATCATTAAAAATATATATAGATGATGAATAGAATGTGATAGTTATTAAATGTTATAGATGATAATAGGTGACTATAAGCCTATGACAATATACATATCGAAAATAAAAAATTATATAAATGACGAAAGAATTACCTATTACCACTCCAGGAAAAAGATCGAAGAGAGACAAATATTTGACAACATGCTTAAGTCAAAAAAGGACTCATAAAAAAATTTATCTTGTGGGGGCTGTGCTCTTTGAGGATAATGGGAGAATGACATTGCTTGTGTAAGCCTTGGTTTTTAATACATATTATTAATGCCATAATATCAGTTGACTTGTAAGAAGTATTTTTTTTTTGTATAACAATTCTGACCAATATGTCTCGATATTTTTATGGTAGTGATCACTTTCCAACTAAAACTTGTATGTTTGAGTTAGTACCTTCACTTTTAGCTTCAGTTAATCATGTCAATGACCACTGTCCACAGATGATTAACCTTGGTTAATCCTGTTGTATATTGGGAGCCATGTTTAGGAGGGTCTATAAATCAATGCATATGAGTTTACTTTTGCTGCTGACTGTAAGAATTTTGGAATGTGCTATAGTGCTAGGATAAACAACACTTGGATGGGTTAGCAAGAGTGACCATTATCTTCTTAATTTTTTCTTTTTTAATTTGTGTGTAATAGAACTTAAAGATGAACTAGTTATCTATTGTCTTAAGATGTTTCATTCTTCCTCGATTGTAGTCATATATGATACCTATTGGGCCTAAACTTTTCGATTTACCTCTGTTGATTACAATTTTGTATTGTATTGTATGTATATATTGGACTGACAACATTTTTATCTGTATGTACAGATGTGGGGTATGAATTTTATGTGGAGCATCGTGGATGGACATGGAAGCAACTTGCTCCTGTAAGCTTTGGGACGAGGACAACACGTTAGATTCTGATGACGATCATGTTGCATCATTCGTTGTGTAGGTACTTGACTATCTGGAATATTTAGTCAATTTTGAGAATTTGCTGGATGTATTAGCACATTTTGTGGTATTATGTGACTCGTCTTGGTCACTTCATCAGTATGAATTGCCTCCCTTTTTATTATATATATATATTTGTGTTGTAGGCTTGTAGCCCAGACTAACCTTTGGATGATCGGTTGTTTTTTAGTACAATTTGTATTTTTTTTCAAAGTCTTTCCTGTTTATTTTCTAGAATTGTGAGCTCTTTATAAAAATGATTTTGTCATATGATGCTTATTGCACCTCTGGTCTGTGGGGCTGATGTTATACTCCATACTAGGGGTGTTCATCGGTTGGTTTAATTGACTTTTGTATATTATTGGTTGTCGATTTGTTAACATGCTAAATCGATTTGATAGTGATAAATTGAAGCAAAATAAATACGTCACTTGTTTAATGGTACTATAGGAAAGCAAAGCGAGAATTTTAATGGAATAGATAGAAAGGTTGTTTCTATACTTTTTGTGTTTTTTTAAAACAATGATCAATCTTCGCCCCTTTTTAAGGAAATGTAAAATAGTGAAACATTTAAATAAGTTTGACACGTTAATAAATAACGATTTATACATTTTTTTTATTTTTTCCCTAAGATTACAACCAATCAAATAATTTATAAGTAACTCAAACATACCACTTGTAAAAAAATGAAACATCACCTTCGTTCGATGAAAATTATATTCAAAACAATCACTGCATTACCTCTCAATAAAACGTGCCCTCAAGAGACGCCTACTATAAATCGACAAGCATATGATTCGAATTCTGATTTAGAGGCATTCAGTCATAATTGAGCACATAGTGTCTTGGGGCCATTACTTGCAAATCGAAAATAAATAAAAATATCAAGACAAATTATTTTTATTATATCCCATGCTACTTAAAAAAAAAAAGTTGAAAAAGGAAAAAAAGAAAAAAAGAAGGGGTAAAAGTTAAAATTATTAAATTAAAATTAAAAAAAATTAAATTTCGGAGAATAAGGGAAGCCCTTTGTATCTCATCACATTCACAGCACATCAAACAGACAGCCGAAAAGATTACGAAGAGAGAAGAGAAAAGAGATCGAAAATGAGCGGAACAGTGAAGAAGATCGCCGATGTGACATTCAAGGCCGGCCGGACTATTGATTGGGATGGAATGGCAAAGCTTCTTGTCACCGATGAAGCTCGTAAGGAGTTTTCTAATCTCCGTCGTGCTTTCGATGATGTCAACTCACAACTCCAAACCAAGTTCAGCCAGGTACCTCTCTATTTTTCTCTCGTTTCTGATTATGTACTGATTGCATTTTTATGTAGATCTAGGGTTTCATTGCTGGATCTATGATTTAGGTTATTCGTTTTTTCAAGTTCCGTATCTAATATCAGGTATGCGAGTTTACTACTTGAACTATCACCAATTATCAGTTGTTTGTTCACTTTTCCTATTTGAAATATCACCATCTTTTAGTAATGATTGATAGTTGAACTATGTTTAGATAAATAGTTGGTGATAGTTTAGGCAGGAAGGAACTCAAAAAATCCGGGACACTTTAGGTGTGTGTTTGACTTTCCAACTTTTTTTAAAAAAAACATAATTGTTCATTGATGGATTGTTTTGGTGATTGACAGCTGCAAGCAGTTGTTTTTGTTTGATTGGAGATTTCTGTTAGTGTAGGGATTAGTGTGAGCTTTATAGAACTTCTGGTTTAGAGAACTGTTATTGAGCATTCAATGAAATATTAGCTGGAGGAGAATGGAATGTGTGTAAAGGATTGAATTGTGGCCCTAACTAGTTTAGGATTGAGTATTACTTGATTGATTGAAACTGTAATGTTTTTATGCTTATTTCTGGATATATATTTATATAGCTGGAAGAGAGTGGATTGTGTACGAAGGATTGTATTGTGGCCCTACCTAGTTTGGAACTGAGGCATACTTGATTGATTGATTCTATCAAGAGCTTGGGCATTTTAGGCTATATATTCTTGTGCGAGCTATTGAATTGTGTTGGTTGAAGGATAAATTTTGACAGCTCGAATTGATTGTAGTATCGTTTTGAATGTTCTTGTTGTCATACTCTGTCTAACTAAGCATTGCAAACTTGGCGGCATGATTTGAGTTTGGTGTTTGTTGATCGTTCTTCTGTATCGTTACACTTTTGAGATCCAATCCTTCCTAATGTATTTAATTTATTGTACTTGGATAAATTTAGAGGCTCTAATGCATAAGAGATCTTTACTTCTTAATCTTGCAGGAGCCTGAGCCCATAAACTGGGAATATTACAGGAAAGGAATTGGTTCTCGCTTGGTAGACATGTACAAAGAAGCCTATGAAAGTATGTGGAATATCAGGTTTCTTTTGCGTTTATGATCTTTTTTTTACTATGTTTATGTGTAGTCTCTTTGGTCATAGCATCCAGCATTATAAGAGTTCAATGAAGACATTGACCATAAATTTCTTTTTAGCTCATTCTAGTGAAGGCAAGCAAGCACAGGATATCTTGCTCCTAATCTTTGTTACTTTGTGTTTTTATGGAAAATAATTAAATCATTGTTACTAAATGAAAGCGGTTAACTCTTCTAGCATATTTTCTAAACACTTATCCTAAAATTCTTGTTGAAGGACTTTAATGTAGCAATTATGAGTGCATGGTCATCACTAGTACTGCTAAGGATGAATTGTTTCTGGAATGGGTTGTTTGTGCAACTTCTTTTATCAGACAAGATATCATTTTCCATTTTCTTTATGTAATGAAGATTATTGAGAATGACATGTGCTTGTTTGGTTATATTTGTTGTTTGATGTGGTGCATAATTCGAAGAATATTACTATCTAGTATTGGAGAAGTTTTTAATAAGTTCTATGCATATTATTTACTTCTTGCCTGACCCTGTCATGTGTCATGTTAAATTACTGGAGGTTTCAGAGTGAGGAATTTCTTGAGTTTTTAATTAAAACTTAAATATTCTTGCTGGAGCAAGTTGGGGCAAATGTGTTTTTGAGCTTCCACAGTAGAGAAGCTGAGAAGGTTTAGAGCAATGAAGGTTAAGTGAGGTGCCTGAACTTGATGGATCCAGTTCTGCCATAATTTATCTGAAAAT